TCTTTCACTAGCATGTCTGTTAAGGTGTCTGGGAATGAGGTTTTCCCACTGCACACCACTTGTAATAGTTAATTTGGTGGCATATCAATTAATGAATGAAGTAACTGTGAATTAAAACACCATAATTGATGTGTAATTAAGTGTGACAATCACATATAGTCATTGTGACTTCATGATTAGTTCATGGTGAGCAACACAAATTCATGATACATCTTGAATTAATACAGCTATTAAATCATCATGAGTCATGAATTAGTTAAGCATTACTTAAGTATATGCTTTGTACCCTTATAAAGTGTTACCATATACGTCTATATTGCAATATAGGCCCGCTTATTATATCATCAGCATTATTACGTTGTCCAACAAAGTGTCAATGTGTTTTTCTCATCTATTTTGGCTGATCTCTGTGTCTCTGTGACAGGACAGCAGGCAAAAGTTCAAATAAAGAACGATGTAGAAAATATGGAGTGGGTCGGAGCACTCATAAATCTATGAATGAGATAACAAACTACTTTAGTTACGAAGGGTCATGGGAAACACGTGTTAATTAACAATCGATCTTAAGTACTAGATAACGAGCTACTCAGCATTATGAAGCTTTCAGTAAAGCCACCCCAGAAGAGAGATAATCAGTATGATGTTTAAATACAGTCAGTGACAAAAAAAGTAAAGCACCCAGAAGTAATGGTCCGATTTAGATTTAATTTGGTACTTATACAGACCAGTTATGGGCATGTACATGATTAAAATTGCAAGGAACTAGCACGTCTAGTCACCAGAAAAAGAAGATGCCTTGTAGACGCATTAGACAGCATTAACAGCACTTGACAGAGTTTGATAGGGGTCACGTTGTGGGTTTGCATGGTAAATGGTAAATGGACTGCATTTATATAGCGCTTTTTACCAAAGCGCTTTACAATGTATGCCTCACATTCACCCATTCACACCACACATTCACACACCGGTGGCGGAGGCCGGGTGGTCGTATCATGCAATTGCCCGGCATGTTGGACATGCATATGTCACAGTTACCCAATGTTGGAACCAATGGCTATGTGAGGGCACCCACACAGATCGTGAAAGTTCTGGTTGCCCAAGACAGACCACACCAAGGGAAAATTGTTGTATTGTGCACCAAGCATTACAGAAGCCTATGACATCTGTGCCTGCCATCCCGACACAGCTATGGGGCTCTCTACAGCACCCTGTGTCATCCCGCACCGTGTCTCGACGACTGGCATCAGCTGGATCCCATATGTAGACTGCCGTTAACACCAACGCAGAAATGACTGCGTTTGGAGTGGTGCCCTAACCAGGAGGCATGGACTGATGACGAGTGGCATCGTTCCATGTTCAGCAATGAATCTCAGTTCTGCATTACCACGGATGACCATCGTATGTGTGTATGGCAGCGCTGAGGAGAGAAGACCAATCCTGCCAATGTTATGTAGAGACACACTGGCATTACTCCTGGCATCATGGTGTGGGGAGCCATAGGGTATGACTTCATGTCATTTCTGGTAGTGATTCAAGGGACCCTGACAGGACAGCATTACATCAGTGACATCCTGCATCTGCATGTCTTACCGCTCCTGAAACAGTACCCTGGTACATGTAGACTACAAGACTACGCCCATCCACACATGGCACATGTGTCTATGGACTGCCTGCGTCATGTTGAGGTCCTCCTGTGGCCAGCAAGGTCCCCTGATCTTTCCCCAATCGAACATTTGTGGGATCAGCTCAGACCCAGTGCCAATCTGCTGGATCTCAAGGGCCAGGTACGACAGCTGTGGGCCACCTTGCCGCAGGAGAGGATACAATGGCTGTATGACTCCCTTCCATACCATATCGCCACATGTATCCAGGCCCGGGGACCTACTGACATGAGACCAGCAGTGTGTCTATACTGCCTCCTCTGTTGTCTGTTTCATCTGATATTATAATCATTGCGATACAGTCACATGACCTTTCACCACATCCAGATTCATTTCATTTCCACCACTCCATCTGGGTGCTTAACTTGTCACTGAGTATATTTTAATGTTTATTAGTCCTGCATGAAACATACATGATAAGAAACCATGTGTTTAATCATGAAATATA